GCGACCGCTGCCACCGGCCGCAGGCCATACCTGTCAAGAGCAAATAGCGAGCGCCCTAAAGCGACTCGAACCCACCCCGCCACGGGTGGGTGGATCGGAAGGCAGGCGCTCTAACCAACTGAGCTACCGGGACGGACAAACATTGCGGTCAGGTGAATTTAGACCAAGCATGAAATGGCTCCCAAAAATCGGCCTAATGTCCGGTGCATCTGTCTGCAGCCGTTACGTTCACATGATATACCCACATTCATTGGCAATCAGCCGATGATTTAACATTAAGGATTGGCTGGTGATAGACTCTATGGGAAACAAAACACTCACTTATCGAAAGATGCAGTGAGTGGCAACTAGAGCACACTGGCTCCCTTGAGTGGCCTCACATATTTAGAACGGTACGGAACGGTTTTTCCACATTTCATTAGAGATATATCTCCCTCCCCTATTTCCCTTCTTATTCAGAAAAGGCATAACTTGCATACTAAACTGAACCTAATAAACTTCCAATTGCTGGGACATTAAACATGCACATTAAACATGCACATGCAAACATTGCACTTTTGTAACATGACGTGACGTACGATAGCGTGACACACACGTTAGTGACACACGTAGCGTGACACACACGCTAGTGGGCGGGTGGGTCACGTAACTTATAACAGAAATTATAAACTGGGTTTCAATGAGTCGGACATATGTATCCTGTTGATGGGGCATGTTGTCACACGGATTCGAATGTAATGCAATGATGACATGGGATGGCATGGTTAAATGGGGAGCACGGTGATCAAACTATGTCACAAATTATTTAACCTCAGTGTTAAGGTGGATCGATTATTTCGGCCTTTGAAACTGGGCAATTTTGAAGGAAATTAATATGCCCTCCACGTTACCAGACTATCGGGGATAAGCCAAAGACATAATCTGGATACACTTATAACAACCAAGCGGGCGCGTGGGCCCAAAGATGACTTTATACACAGGGCTCCTATGCGCATGCTGTCTGTCGACATTAGTAATTTGGTGCCTAAAGAAAACTGGACTTGAACCGTCAGAGCTGAAGTGATTACGTTGAAAGGCTGACCTCATTCAAGAGGGAGGGTGCGTCTGTCGGAGGAGCTGTCATTGTACAGGAACAGTGCTCATAAGACTTTATGGAAGGGGCGAGTCGGCAAAGGCGTCACAGGTTTCTCGTAAGGACGTTCGCGAAAGATGTCGCACTCAGCAAGGACGGCATACAATGACAGCCGGTAAATCGCTGAGTGGTTGGCATAGAAGGAGGACAGGCTCTCCTCGGGAGCGATACGCACCTGGGCGATACTAAGGATGAAGAGCCACTCAGGGCCACAGGGCAACAGCGTATTAACTGTGCGCTGTCGTCATGCTCCTGTACTGGAGGAAAGGGCGTTTAGTTATAAGCCTTTACCCTTCACCCGAATGAACCCGAATGCTTCGAGTAAAAGAGCCTGACGTATCGAGGTGTGGAGGAACTTACATTGCAAACGTATGTCCAAGTTTCCTAAAACCTCAAATTTGCCAGTGTATCCGGCCATGCGTGCCACTGGAGTAGGGCAAACTAGTGGGGCCACTAGTAGGGCAAACTTGTTGGAACGAAATTGATAAGGGATGCGACGAATGAATGCAGCGCTTGACGATAGGGAGGCGAAGGTGTGGATTTGCATGACATTCTGTAAATTGTAAGCACTAGTTGTGGAAGCAACGGCAGCTCAGCATAAGGGAGAAATGGACAAATTACAATTGCATTTAAAGTCAGCTAATGTTGACATCGAAGGCGACTGGAGAGAGAAGGCGAGATCTCCGTCAGGGCGTTCGTAACCCAAGTGGTCTCAGGCGTGTGTAACGGGAAGAACCACTCCAAGGACTACTAATATCACCGCGCTGCTAGTCCCAACTTCACCCTCCATCCGGAGCAGTGAAGAAATTATGTATGTGTAATAAACTCAATGACCACGTCACAGCTCACGCCTCCGACGCAGACGTGTGTGCCGAGAAGCTGCGGGAGTGGCGCAAGCTGGGGCGCGATGCTGCACTGATAATCTCCTTAAGGCATACCTACAGATCCATGCTCACAAATCTCTCTGTTCCTATCAGACGGTCGTGTTCCGTGGCACCCGGTACTGCCTGATGCGTCTGGGATTCGGTTTCAACATAGCGCCGCTGGTGCTGAAGAGGATCCTGGCTGCAGTGCTGAGCTGGGACTCCAGAGTCGACCGCGCAGCGTCCCCGCATGTGAACGATATTTTCGTCAACGAAAACGTCGCCCCCGCGCAGTATGTGGAAGCCCACCTCCGCTGGTATGGTCTCGACTGTAAGCCAGCCGTGCGGCTGTCCGACGGCGCCCGTGTGCTCGGACTACGCGTCGAGGAGAAGCGAGGACGGCTCGTGTGGCGGAGGGATAACGAAGTGATCGACGCGCCGCGACCACTGACTAAACGGAGTGTATTCTCCCTGTGTGGCCGCCTGATCGCCCATCTGCCGGTCTGTGGGTGGATTCGACCCGTGACTTCGTTCGTAAAGCGCCTGATAAACTCAGTGACAACATCGTGGGATGAGGAAGTGAAAGACGCACGCATGATCGGGATGGTGGAAGAGATGCTGCACCGTGCGGCAGAGGCTGACCCCGCGGGAGGACAGTGGGACGTGGACGGTGCCGTGGCGGGAGTGTGGGTGGACGCTAGTTCGTTGGCACTAGGAGCCGCCCTGGAAGTGAACGGGGAGATAGAGGAAGACGGGAGCTGGTTCCGACGCGACGAGCGTGTGCACATTAACATGGCCGAGATGGACGCTGTGCTGAAAGGTACAAATTTGGCCATCGTGTGGGGAGCCAGGACTGTGGAGGTGATGACTGACTCTCGGTCCGTGTACCACTGGGTCTCCGACGTGCTCTCGGGCAAAGCTCGGCTGAGGACAAAGGCGGCTAGCGAAATGCTGATTCGCCGGCGCCTGCAGACCTTCAAGCCGACCATCGAGGAGTACGAGCTGGCAGTTAGCGTCAGCTTTGTGAGCTCCTGTGAGAACAAGGCTGATGTTCTGATTCGAGTTCCGTAGAAGTGGCTGTCGGCTGCGTCCAACGGCGTCACCTGCGCCGCCGTCTCCAGTGACGAGGCGGCGGGGAGCTGTCAGAAATCCGCTGAGTGCTTGAACTCTCTGGACATCCAGGAGTTAAGCGCACTCAGTATTTCTGCAGGCGCTCCCGGCCGACGACGACAGTGGCAATGCAGGCTTTGGAGACTTCGCGCGGCGGTGGGGGCTCACGGTCCGGTTCCGTGCACCTCATGCACCGTCTGGAAGCGGGGTGGTGGAACGATGCCACCCAACGGTCAAATCTGTCGTGGCTCGGTCACAGTGTTCCGTGGCTGAAGCGGTCTTTACGTACAGTGTGACACCGAGGGACGGGATGGGACATGAGACCGCGCCTGCGAACGCGGCACACCGGTAAGAGCTGCGCGTGCGCGGAATTGACAGAGTGGTGGATGAGCCTAGTGTACTGGTATGTAAGTTTGGTGTTGGCGACAGTGTGGGGGTGCGGGACCCGAGCCGCCGATGTGGTAAACGGAGCTCGCTCGGCACCGTCACCAAAGTGCTGTCCGCGCAGACCGTGGGGGTCAACAGGATGCCTCGGCACGTGCGCGACCTGCTTGTCGCCAGGGCGGAGCGAGATGATGCGAGCGAGGAAAGGGGGGCGGCGGAAGGCTCCGGTGTAGACGAACCGAGCGTGTTCCAAATAGCGGCTCCGCGTGTGGATCAGGGCGCAGAACGCGAGGTCAGGGAAGCCGGGGCGCCGGAGGCAGAGCCAGGAGCGGAAGGGAACATTGAGGAGCTGGCAGTTGACGATCATGATGTGAGCCGAGAGCCGCAGCCGCCGGGGAGAAGTTGTGCTGTACGGCAGCGCGCCCATACTATGAGCCAGTGAGACGCGTTATATTATGTGTATGACCCTGTGTATGATGTGTGACGTGTTGTGATCTGAGATCAGGGGGGGGGGGGGGGGGAGTGTGCTGTGTGTACGCCGAGCCGGCCGGCCGGTACATGTGGGGTCGTCTCCTCAGCCCTGTCTGCTGAGTCAGCTGACTGCCGCCCGAACCGGCCGGCGCGGCGGCAGTGGGAGAGAGGGAGGCGCGGGGGAGGTGCGCAGGGAGGTGCCGCTAACGTTTGAAATAGTCAGCCGCGCTCTTCATATATATATATATATATATATATATATATATATATATATATATATATATATATATATATATATTCATAGAGGGATATGTTTAGAAGAGGCCCATAACTCTTGGGACCCCACAGGGTTTAGTGAAAACGGTACGCAGCGAATAAAACCCCGACTACCCTTATATATCCCCAAGACTATTTCCCAGTTGAGAAACGGGCCACCACTTTTTGGCTGGCAGAAATTGCAAAGCTTGCCAGATGTCCCATTTTACACAATTTGCTATCTTGAGCTGAAATGGCACGCCCTGCATTTATACCTCCCGGAGCTCACCTCTCTGCCTCCATTAGGTCAAGCCAACCCTGCATCCACCCATGCAACGCCCCTCCTAAGGTTACAGGAAGTGCATCCCAACTTCTCAATGTGCGTCCCAGGGTGCTGCAAGCCCGTCTGGACCGCCGTTTCTCATCTCGAACCTACACGGTTGTATGCTGTTCTCTTTTACACAGACTTTCTATGCACTTCCGGCTAGAACTCTCCGGGATAAATTACTGGTAAATGAGTTATTCGCAGGCGAAAATGCTCCATTGAATGTCCTAGGTCTTAAAAAGCCCGGTTTATTAAAATATTTATGTTCAAACAAGCCCTCAAAAACGGCGTTTTCTCGCGGCTGTAGCATTGGCGTCATATGACTTAGTCCCAAGATGACGTCACAGTATCGCTACCCAGAATGCAGTAATGCGGGGCTTGGGCATTCACAAGACACTTTAACAACGGCATGCATTCGTACGTCATACGGTTAAATGAGAGAACGGTGTGTCGGGGGTGTGCGGACGAGCGATGCTTTCGACATTCATTTTTTAAATTGGTTATGTACAACATACAAGTGCTCTTCATACAAGTGCTCTTCTGCCCTGATACATGAAACTCGGTGATGTGAAATGGAAAACTAGTCACCTGCCATGCAATTTAAACTTTATGTTATGGAATACTGAAGCATCAATACAAAATAAAGATCTTTTTATACTATTTTGACTTGACCAGGCCTGTTGATTTGGCATGTAGGAAGGGCTTTAAAGTTGGAAAGGGAGAATTTCTTCCAGACCATGAACAGTGCTGTTCCTGACATATAGCTATAGTTTTCTAATGGGTCTGACTGCAGGCCACCAGAAGTCATAAACCTGACTCCACATGATCACTTTCTTCTAACCAAGACAGTCTGAAAATCACTAATAAAAATGATGGCTGAGTTCCAAAGCCTTTGATTCCATGTTTCAGATATTTTTGGTAAATCCTTAGCCCGCAGAAAAATAAATTTTTCATCATATGGGGTATTTGGCCCTGGTTTTGTGCTATGACTTCAATCAGATGTATGGCACTCTGCCAGCTTGCCATTGATCCAGTGCAGCAGCAAGGCTGACATTGACCAATAGAATCACCCTTGTTGTCCAGCTGGCAATGAACCAGACCAGCTGCCTGGACCAGGTCTTTTCACTGCTTTATCACTCTTGTGTCTACAGAGGCACTACATCCTGTCAGTATCACCACTTGGAGAATGTAATGCTGCCATCTCATCCAGTGGGTTGTTATGCATTTCTCTTACATCTTGTTGCTTTGCTGTCTGCAATGCTTCCTTTTATGCTTTCTTCTCATCCCACAGAATGTGACAGATCAGTCACAGTCCACAAATCAGTCGTGGCCCACATAGAAGTTGCAGCCCACGCATCAGTCACAATCCACACAGCCACACCCTAAGTTTTGGTTCTTGTGGCTCATTCTGTGCCCAGTGTAATCATGTAATGCCCCAGACTCCCTGCCCTTGTGTCAACCTTGAGGGCACCAGGCACAGTTAAGCCAACTAACTGGTGCTCCATATCCACCATCTTGAATGAGACAGTCACTAAGTTTCATATTTGCTGATCCTCCCACCCAGCCACATACAACAAATTTTCCTACCAAAAATTGTGTGATTGTAGGCATTTGTAGAGCCCCACATGAGCTCACTGGCAGTGTGAACGCACTGGCAATGTGATTGTGCTTAAATGCTGACCATGTACCTCTCATGGTTGGATTGTTTAGTGAAGAGAGCCCTGCATGCCCATCAGAGGGTGGTGTGGTTTCAAGCCTGGATCCTACAGGTCAAAGGGTGTGTGTTCATGATCAGTGCTCTGTGCTTGCATAGCAAAATTTCATTTCATTGCAGGGCACCCAAAAAAGAGGCTGGTCATCAGTGAAGTTGGACAGAAGCTTTTTGAACACTGAAGTGCAACATTTAAACAAGCATACCATATGTTGCCAGCCACTGTCAACCCTCACACCACATTGTTTTCTTTTCAGATTTCAGATGAGTGTTGACAATGGATGCTGACAGTGTGGCACCGAGGAAGCTGCTTTTGTCTTCACCCAGCCAGCAGGCGGAGCAGCAGGCTCAGGAGCGTGGCGAGTCAGCCGATCAGTCCCGGCACTGGTTTGAGCAGGAGGTGGGCCACATCTGAGATGTGTTGACTCCAGAGCCAAGTGACTTATTAAGCATGTTCACCAGCAGGGCTCACACAAGTCTTGATAGCTTTACTCTGTTTCAGATAGTTCATAAAGTGTTATATTGCTGTTTTTTCCCTTAATTTTTATCTCTATGCTTGAATTGATGTTATACTCCTTTCTAAGGAGCGTTAATCCAGCTTGTGTATAAGGCACAGAAGTGCCAAGTCTACTGTGAGGTGCCATTCTGTACATCAGGCACGACGTTGCTCTGTCACAGAAGAGGACCCGTGTTTTGCAGGTGGAGAAAAACTTAGCAGACTCGCGCCAGGAGGACCACCTGAAGCGGCTGAGGAAGCTGAAAAAGGCACTTGACTACATCAGCGAGACCGACTGGAAGTATGAGAATGCCAAGCCGTTTTAGCCGCGTCCTCTGATTTTCTGCCTGTATTCTCTCACCTCGCGTTTCTCAAGAATTCTGAAGTCTGCTGTGTTTGCCGGTGTAGGGAGACTCGGCAGCCGCGACCGTCCCGAGCGAGCGACTACCGCGGCGGCCCGCGCGCGTCACGGCGGGGCCGGCGCCGCGCCGCCGCCGCCGCCACCGCCGCCACCGCCGCCGCCGCCGCCGCCGCCATGCTGGAGGCCATGCGCGGCTGGCTGTGGCCGCGGCCGGAGCCAGCGGCCGCGCCCCCGCCGCTACACCTCTTCTTCCCGGCGGACGAGCCGCGGCCGGACGAGCAGCGCTGCTGGTTCGAGGGCCGCGTGCTGAGCGTGTCGCCCGAGGGCGGCACCGTCAGTGGCGACGTGTGGTTCGAGGCGGCGGCCGTGCGCGGCGGCAGGCTGCCCGAGGTGGGCGAGCTGGTGCGCGGCCAGTCGCGGCGCAGGGACGCCGGCCACGCCTGGCTCGCCGTTCACGTGGAGCCCGTCAGTGACGAGTGGGAGCGGGACACCGGCCATGCGCCGGCCGAGAACCGGCTGGTGGGCCAGCTGCGCTGCTTCGACGCCGGCGTGCTGGTGCTGGCCGACCGCGACCTGGAGTACCGGCTGCACCAGGGCTGCGCCGAGATCGACTTCGTGCCTATGGAAGGTGCGGCCCATGCGAGGCCGGGGTTATATGTGCAGTGTTGTTGGCTTTAGGGAGAGCATGTGTGCATGAATGACGCAACTATGCCTTCCTAAGCGCAGTCACCGTCAGTTACATGGGAGTCGGTGGCTCGATGCGACCTTTGCATTCACTGTGCTGTAAAGGTTGCGCTGATAAACGCCTCCGGTGCTGGGTGCACGCATGCTATCGTGCGAGGTGCCGTTGTAACGTCATCACTACGTGGGTCATTCCGCCTGGATGACGGTTGGTTGACGGTTGGTCGCCAGGCGACTGGCTGGAGGTGGAGAGCAGCGAGCCGATCCCGCTGGAGGTGACGGCCGAGGCGTGCGTCCAGGTGCGCCCGCTGCGCCGCTGGCAGCTCGACGGAGAGGTGACGCTCGTCGCTCACGAGCCGCCCGTCTTCGGGCTCGTCGATAACCAGGTGACGAGCGGGCGGCGCCGTATCGCCCACCGGCCGCATAAGTAGATCGCGGCACGCTGGTGTTCTTTTCAGCGACGGCTGCTGTTGTGTCGCTCCAAACCATGCCAGATTTTGAACCTTCTGATGGTCCTGTGTGCTTGCTCTCTTTGAAATATATAGCTCGGCATGTGGTTTTTATTGGATGAGCTCTCGGGGACGGTTCATGTGTGACTGTCTCGTGGAGGAAAGACGTCGCTGGCTCTCCGCAGCTGCCGGCTCCGCGCGCCTCTTAACACGGTCCGACTGTGCGCCGCCCTGCCAGGTGTACTTCCACGCGTCGGCCTGGCAGCTGCCGTACCTGCCGCGGCGCGGGGACCGCGTGCGCTGCTCGGCCGTCGAGAGCTCGCAGACGACACCGCGCGGCGTTACGCTCAACTGGCGCGCTGTCCGTGTGGCGGCGCTGGAGGCGCGCGCCTGGCTGCGCCCGGCGCCGGCCGCGCCGCCCACCGCTGCTGCCGCCACCGCCTTCTCAGCCGCTCTGCTCGAGGACAAACACGGGGTGACGGTCGCCGGCGACGGTGACTTCCGGCAGTTGAAGTGCGGCGAGAGCCGGCAGGCGGCGCTGGTGGTGCGCAACGGCAGCGGCGCCGCGGTAACGCTGGCCGCCGTCCGCCTGCTCTCGGACTCGGGTGGCCAGTTCTCGGCGGCGCTGCCGCAGCCGGCCGAGGTGCCGGCCGGCGGCCAGGCGGCGGTGGCCGTGCACTGCCGGGCGCATCTGCTGGGCGCTGCGCGTGCCCTCTGCCTGCTCGAGTTCGGCGCCTTCCAGATCGGCCGCTGGCTGAGCGTGACCGTGGAGGACCCGGACGCTCACCGGCTGCGACCGGGCGCGGCGGTGCGCCGTCGGCCGCGCGCCGCCGCCGCCGAGCTGGACGGCCGCCAGGGCTGTGTGGTGGTGCCCGGCCAGCCGGCCTTCAAGCCGGCGCCGTTCGTGTCGGCGCGGCTGGCGCCGTACCCGCTGCCGCCGCGCCTGCTGGCCATGGACGGCGATCAGCTGCTGCAGCACTACCCGTGCCTGGCCGACCCGCTGACCGCCGACAACTACCGACAGCGGCTCAGCCTGCTGCTCTTCCTCGAGGAGGTGGGCTGGCGCCGCCGCGGCCCGACGTCTGACGCTCGTCGGGCCGACGGGCGCGAGACCGCGCGGCGAGCGAGCGCCGCCCCAGTCCGCCCCACAGTGGCCCTCGACGTTGAGGCGGTAGCTGGACGTCAAGCGCGGTGGGTGACGACATAAGTTCCTGTTGGGATTGATGTCATGCCATGTGTCTTGGCGCCAGGCGGTGCCGAGCGATGGAGGGTGTTAGGGCCCCGGCAGAGTGCGCGACTGACCGCCTCGCCACCCGTCGCGCCTGACGCCCGCCGTCCGGCAGGTGGAGATGATCCGGCACATCCGCCAGTTCGACCTGACGGGCGTGGCGCTGTCGCGCGCCGGCGAGTGCCTCCAGTTGACGGTGCCCGGGCTGGCCGAGAGTCGGCCGTCGCTGGTGGTGGGCGACAAGGTGCTGCTCTCGCACCCCTTCGAGGAGTCCGGTCAGTGGCCCGGCCGCAGCTGGCCCGCCGGCCGGCGCTCCGTGCGCCGCCCCACGCCTGGGACGGTGACCCGGGCGCTGGAACGGTGCAGGGTAGGCGCGCCCTTGTTTGTCTCGCCCGCTGGCACGGCCTGCACCGCCGAGTTCAAACTGGACTCAGCGCGGACGCGGGCTCTGTGCGCCGACACGGTCGCTGTACACGAACATGCGCCCCGCACGTTCTCTGGGCCTCTGTAAGAGCGCTAACGCGCGACACGGGTGCTTAGGAGGCCATATCTGGTGTACAACATGTGCAACTGGAAGGTTCACGGGTGATTGAGAAATGGAAGCACCTCATGTAAGCGCGGTGTCATCCACCGCCTCGTGCCTTTTGCTGCTCCGTTGTTTGCGGTTTGTCTGAAGTGTAAGGGGGCGCGCCGTGCCCTCGCGTATCGCTCTGTTCTCCGGAGGTTTCCAGTACGAGAGAGAGAGAGACATACAGAGACAGAGACAGAGACAGAGACAGGCAGACAGACAGACAGAGACCTCACGGGCGCCGCTCTGTTGCCGGCAGGTCTGAAGTACGAGGGCCACATCCACCAGGTGCGCCACTCGGCCGTGGAGCTCATGTTTCACCCGGACTTCCAGCAGCGCTACACGGGCCAGGAGTACAACGCGTCGTTCGAGTTCAGCCGGAGCCAGCTGCGCCAGCTGCACCGGGCCGTGGAGACGGCCGTGGCGCGGCTCGGCGCCGGCGTCCTCTTCCCCAGCCGGGTCAGCGTCCGGCTGCCACAGGTGACCAGCCCAGCAGGGCTTGGGGCTCACTCCCCCCCCCCCTCCAGCGGGGTCACCGTGTAGCCGCTGCAGGTGACTGCCCTCGCAGGGGGTGAGGCTCCCCCCCCCCCCCCCCCCAGCCGGGTCACAGTCCAGCTCCCGCAGGTGACCGCCCGCGCTGAGGGGACCCCGTCACGGTGCGCTTTGTTCTCCTGCTCTTGGATTGTGTGAGACAACTGTATGCGTCCAAAAGTGGATGGACCACTGTCTATGCTGCTAGCTCAGGTTTGGTGTCCATGCTGTAATTGACGTCCAACCAGAATGAACGGAAATCTGGCGAGCGGGCAGCCGAGGCTACATGCCATAAAAATGAAGAATGGCAGAGTTTTACTCAGAAGGCAGTGGTGCGAACAGATCATGCATTGTTCGCGATTTCGTCCATATCCAGCACGTATGTAAGGCGGGGCCCTCGATTGACTTCTTTGTTTGACTCGTCAAGACCTTTCCGCCGAATTAGTTTTGTTTAGAAACATTCAGTGATTGCTTTCTGGTGTTAGTTTTATGCTCCCAAGCGGTCCCTCTGCGCAGGTAAGCTTTGTGGAGGAGGCCTGCTGGTCAGAGCCGCCCGTGTGCTCTCACACCAAGCGGGTATCGTTCGATCTGAACGACCAGTCCGCCGCGGAGGTGAAGCCCTCGCCGCCAGAACAGGAGGAGAAGCCGGGTGCCGGGCCCGCCGTGAACGGCCCGCCAGACGTGCCCCCGTCCAGCCGGCCCGAGACCAGACCGCCGGGCGCCGGCCAACCCGCTGTAAACGGCGTCACGCCCGCGCCACGACCGGAGGCGGCGTGCGTCGGCGCCGCGGGCCGGCCGGTGCCGGGCCCGAGCCGCCTCGTTAACGGCCACCGGACGACGGCGGGAGGCGCTGCGGCGCCGGCCGCCGGCCGGAGCTCCGGCCCGGCGACCGACGGCCAGTCCGAGTCGGACCTGTCGTTCACGTCGACCGAGGGCGGCTCTCAGGACGAGGCGCCGGCGCCGGGACGGCCCGGCCGCCGCCGCAGCCGCCGCCGCCAGGCCGTCGTCGACCGCTTGTTCAAGTCGGTCGCCGTCGCAGATGGCGCTGTGCCGGACTCCGGCGACCGAGCCCGGGCCCGGGCCCGGGCCGTCCCGGCGGCAGGGGACGGCGCCGCAGCAGCCGCCGCCCCCGCTCCCGCCCCCGCCCCTGCCGCCCCCGCTCTCCGCCGAGCAGCGGCCCACTCTGTCCGGGGGCTGCCCGCCTCGGTCCGAGCCGCCGTCGCCACCGCCGGAAACGGACGGACCGGCGTCGGCGCCGCCGCCCGCCTCTCGGACGCCGCCGTCGCCGCTCAAATCGCCGGCCCGCGCGTACGCGGCGGCCGCCGGCCGGCTGCGCGCGCTGTCTGCGGTGCCGGGCGCGCGGCGGGCGCCGTTCGTGCTGCCGCGACCGGCCGCCGCCGCCGTCGCCTCCTGCCGCCGCTGCCGCTGCTGACGGCGCCGACGGAGACGGGGCCGGCGCGGGCAGCTTCTGCGTGCCGCGGCTGCTGAGCATCGCCGGCGCCGAGCGACCTGGCGTCCGGCTGCTGCGCTGGTTCAACCGGGCGCTGAATGCCCGCCAGAGGTCGGCCGTCCGCCGCGTGCTCAAAGGTGAGGCCGGCCGGCGCTGACTAGCCCAGGCGCAGGGTCGGCTGACTGACGGGCGACAGCGCCGTGCGTCGGGCGGGGAACGGCGGCGGAACGACAACGCTGAAGGCGTGCGGTGGTGCCTTCCATGCTGGAGACCCCGCTGTGTGTTTGGAAACTGCCGTGCCACGTATGTGATCCCGCGTGACCCATTAGGTCAAACGCCACGCATGTGATGCCGCGTGACTCATTAGGCCAAACGCCACGTATGTGATCCCGCGTGACCCATTAGGCCAGATGCCACGTATGTGATCCCGCGTGACCCATTAGGCCAGATGCCACGTATGTGATCCCGTGTGACCCATTAGGCCAGATGCCACGTACGTGATCCCGCCTGACCCATTAGGCCAGATGCCACGGCGGACGTTGGCGGTATATGTGGCGGCTACGAGCGAAACCCTGGCTGACCCGGGTCGTGTTCTCATAGGGATGGCCCGTCCGCTGCCGTACATCATCTACGGCCCGCCGGGCTCCGGCAAAACGGTGACGGTGGTGGAGTGCATCCTCCAGGTGTACACTATGTGCCCGAACAGTCGGTACGTCTCCCTGCGAAAGTACGCAGTCTCGCCGGCTCTTTGCTTCGCATGGCGAGCCGGAGCACAGCGTAATTTGTTTCAGCAAGTGTTCTATGCCGTCCGTCCTTCGCCTTTCTTCCCGTGATCTGGGACACCTGGTTAGTGTTCGCAGACGTGTTGTCAGTGAGTGTCATGCGTGCGATGTCATGTGATGTCATGTCAGTGAGCCGGAGCTGGTGTGCTCGGGCCGGCGGTGGACCGGTGCGTCGGTCGGCAGCTGGTGCGCGGCTCGTGTTGGCCCGCTGCGGCGCCAGGGCCGGAGGTGGTCCGGGAGGGCCGGTGTGTGTGACTGACCGGCTGCCGTGTCCGGGCGCCGTCAGCCTGCTGGTGGCCACGCCCTCCAACAGCGCCGCCGATCTCATCACGGAGAGGCTGCACGCCAGCGGCGCCGTGCACAGCGCGGCCCTGGTGCGGCTCACCTCCTTCAACCGGTGGGTGCCGCGCGTGCCGCCGACGGCTGAACGTCGGCCAGAACTCCGACGATAGGGGGAGGGGGGGGGAGGGGTGAAGCTGACGACAGGGACTACCCGAGGCCGACGTCGGGGGCTGGCAGGGCCGAAGGCATGGGCTGGCAGAGGCCGACAGCATGGGCTGGCAGAGGCCGACGGCAGGGGCTGGGAGAGGCCGATGGCAGGGGCTGGCAGAAGCCGATGGCAGGGGCTGGCAGGGGCCGACGCCGGGGCTGGCAGGGGTAGACGTCGGGGACGCACTGGACAAGGCTTTTCGGAGGTAGCGTCCCGTGTATTTTAATAACGAGCGTTTCTACAGAGGCCAGAATGGTCTAAACAGCTATTTCTAATGCAGTGCGGGATGGGTATGCTAAGTTATTGATACGCCAGAAAGCCGAGGACAGTAGAGTGGCGTACTTGGAGTGGTGTTGGGAGCGCTCGTGTCGCCCGGCGGCGTGTGCCGCTGATGTGTGCGCCGGGGTGCCGCCAGGTCCGGGGACGCCTGTCCGGAGCCGGTGCAGCCGTACGTCATGTCCGGCGACTCTCTGGAGGCCGCCTCCCGGCGCCGTATCGTGGTCGGCACCGCCGGCGCCCTAGGTCCGTAGGCGCGGCGGCGGCCGGCCGGGCGCAGCGACGCTGCTGGCCAGCTGGAGCTAGTCTCATGGATGCTCATGCTCGATGCGAAGCCTGTGCTATTAAAGTCATTTTATATGCAACGAAAGGAAGCGTCGGTGTTGCCCGCGGCCGTGTTTCTTGCAGTAAGGGCTGGTGACTAGATCGTATGTAAGTGAATGCTCACACTGGCGTATTTTGGATACTCACTCTGCTGACGCTCGGTGGTGTGTCAAACTAATCGGTGTGTCCGTAGATTAGTGCTGGTACTCACGCCGGCTTCTCCGTACTGAGGGTCGCGCACGGGAGCGCCGCGGTGGGCGGCTGCTGATCGTGCCCCCTGTCGGCGCCCCGGCAGGCAACCTGTACCGGCTGGGGCTGCGGCAGAGTCACTTCACACACGCGTTCGTGGACGAGGCGGGCCACATGACGGAGCCGGAAACGCTGGTGGCGCTGGGCCTCGTGTCGGCGCTGGACGGCCAGGCCGTGCTGGCCGGCGACCCACAGCAGCTGGGGCCCGTCCTCCAGTCGCGATACGCCGCCGCTTGGGGACTCCAGGTCAGGGGAGGGGAGGGGAGGGCGCGCGGCGCCGGCGGCGGACGGCGGGGCTCTGCGGGCGGTGTCAGCTGCTGTGTGTGTGACGTCAGGGTCCGGAGGTCCGGCCCGGGGCGTCGGTCAGATCAGGAGATTAGGTGAGGGGAGAGGGAGGGGCGCGCGGCGCCGGCGGCGGACGGCGGGGCTCTGCGGGCGGTGTCAGCTGCTGAGTGTGACGTCAGGCTCCGGAGGTCCGGCCGGGGGCGTCGGTCAGATCAGGAGATTAGGTGAGGGGAGGGGAGGGGCGCGCGGCGCCGGCGGCGGACGGCGGGGCTCTGCGGGCGGTGTCAGCTGCTGAGTGTGACGTCAGGCTCCGGAGGTCCGGCCGGGGGCGTCGGTCAGATCAGGAGATTAGGTGAGGGGAGGGGAGGGCGCGCGGCGCCGGCGGCGGACGGCGGGGCTCTGCGGGCGGTGTCAGCTGCTGTGTGTGTGACGTCAGGTTCCGGAGGTCCGGCCCGGGGCGTCGGTCAGATCAGGAGATTAGGTGAGGGGAGAGGGAGGGCGCGCGGCCCGGCGGCGGCGGTGGGGCTCTGCGGGCGGTGTCAGCTGCTGAGTGTGACGTCAGGCTCCGGAGGTCCGGCCGGGGGCGTCGGTCAGATCAGGAGATTAGGTGAGGGGAGAGGGAGGGCGCGCGCGCCGGCGGCGGGCGGTGGGCTCTGCGGGCGGTGTCAGCTGCTGAGTGTGACGTCAGGCTCCGGAGGTCCGGCCGGGGGTCGGTCAGATCAGGAGATTAGGTGAGGGGAGGGGAGGGCGCGCGGCGCCGGCGGCGGACGGTGGGGCTCTGCGGGCGGTGTCAGCTGCTGAGTGTGACGTCAGGTTCCGGAGGTCCGGCCGGGGGCGTCGGTCAGATCAGGAGATTAGGTGAGGGGGAGGGAGGGCGCGGCGCCGGCGGCGGGCGGTGGGGCTCTGCGGGCGGTGTCAGCTGCTGAGTGTGACGTCAGGTTCCGGAGGTCCGGCCGGGGGCGTCGGTCAGATCAGGAGATTAGGTGAGGGGAGAGGGAGGGCGCGCGGCGCCGGCGGCGGACGGCGGGGCTCTGCGGGCGGTGTCAGCTGCTGAGTGTGACGTCAGGCTCCGGAGGTCCGGCCGGGGGCGTCGGTCAGATCAGGAGATTAGGTGAGGGGAGAGGAGGGGCGCGCGGCCGGCGGCGGCGGTGGGGCTCTGCGGGCGGTGTCAGCTGCTGAGTGTGACGTCAGGTTCCGGAGGTCCGGCCGGGGGCGTCGGTCAGATCAGGAGATTAGGTGAGGGAGAGGGAGGGCGAACGCGCCGGCGGCGGGCGGTGGGGCTCTGCGGGCGGTGTCAGCTGCTAAGTGTGACGTCAGGCTCCGGAGGTCCGGCCGGGGGCGTCGGTCAGATCAGGAGATTAGGTGAGGGGAGAGGGAGGGCGCGCGGCACCGGCGGCTGGCGGTGGGGCTCTGCGGGCGGTGTCAGCTGCTGAGTGTGACGTCAGGCTCCGGAGGTCCGGCCGGGGCGTCGGTCAGATCAGGAGATTAGGTAAGGGGATGGGGAGGGGAGGGAGCTAGATATGATGTCTGGGGTCGGGAGTCAAGATTGGTGTTTGACCCTTCAATGGTGACGGCATGCAACTCATGACGAACAGGTGCGAAGATAAAGGTTTGCTGCGGGCGCTATGTTCAACCGAGGCGCTCCTAGCTTTCTCATGGTTTACTCGAAGCTCTCTTTCGAACTCGAAGCTCCCACTGAACTCGAAGCTTTGTTGGGGAGATGTCATGGCAAGGGTCCTGCCTGCGACAATGAGCATGATCGTGAAGAACATTTGAATGTGAATGTATGCACTGTCACACTCGGGCGAGCGCGGTCGGTCGGGGCCCGGAGCGGTGTAAGCCGTCCAGCTGACCCCGCCGCGCCGCCGCAGACGTCGATGCTGGAGCGGCTGTCGGAGCGGCCGCTGTACGGCCGGGACGCCGAGAAGTTCGCCGACCACGGCTGCTAACAACCCGCTGCTGGTGAGTGGCCGCCGGCCGCGGCGCCAGGCGGGCACGCGCGGACGGCGGCTGGCCGGAGCGGGCGCACCGCTGGCGTCCGCTGATGCGTGTGCTGCCCGGAGGAGGGCCGTGTCCGGTCAGAGGTGGGTGACCAGCGGTCCAGCGGGTCGGCTAGCCCTCCACCGCTGGCGTCCGCTGAGCGTGTGCCATGCCCGGAGGAGGGGCCGTGTCGGTCAGAGGGTGTGAACCGCGTCCAGTGGTCGGCTGCCCTCCACCGCTTGGCGTCCGCTGAGCGTGGTGCCGCCCGGAGGAGGGCCCGTGTCGGTCAGAGGTGGTGACCGCGTTCAGCGGTCAGCTGCCTCCACCGCTGGCGGTTCCGCTGAGCGTGTGTCCGGCCCGTGAGGAGGGCCATGTCGGTCAGAGAGTGTGGGACCGGCGTCCAGGCGGTCGGCTGCCTCCACCACTGACTTGGCGTACGCTGAGCGTGTGCCGCCGGAGGAGGGCCGAGGTGTGACCGGTCCAGAGGTCGCTGCACCGTGTCCGGCGGTCGGCTGCCTCCACCGGTGAACGGCACAGAACGCCAGTGTTGACCTGGCGTCCGGTGGTCACCGACTAGAGCCGCGCGGTCGGGCTTGTGGCGGCCTCGCCGCGGGCCACCGACTGGCAGCGACAGACGGCTCCTTCCCCCTCCCCCCTCCCCCCTCCCCCCTCCCCCCCCCCTCCCGCCCTCCGGCTCCGGGCGTGACGCCGCGCCCCTACTCGGCAGGTGACCAAGCTGGTCAACAACTACCGCTCCCACCGCGAGCTGCTGACCGTGCCGTCCGCGCTCTTCTACCACTCGGAGCTGGTGCCGTGCCTGCATCCTGAACTGGCCAACAAGTGAGTCAGCTGAGCGGTGAGCTGGTCGGCCAGCGTCCTGCTCGGCCCCGGGAAGCAAGGCTCTTGATATGTAGCCGCGGTGCGGCTGCTAGTGGCTGCTTAACCTGCCTAGGTGTGGTTACCTTGAGGTGAATTCTTTCTGTTACGAGGGACTTCGAAAGAGCTATACTTGTTATGTCAAACACTTCAGGTAGTTATTGTGCCTTTTGCTACCAGTATTCAACACTGGTTATTGCTTTCGGGTACAGCTGTAGTAATTTAAGAGCATCCAGTATAGTGTTCAACGTAACGTTGAGTACGTTGCCGGTGTACGTACGAACGTTGAGCGCTGTCCGGCCCAGATCACTCGAGATGTATTTGAGCCGTCCATCAATAACAATACACATGTAGGGGAATGTGTTAAGGGACTACTAGGTTAGTAATGGAGGGAGTAATGGACGAGTCAACTGCATTGGTTATTTGCGCTGTTAATGGAACGTAGCGGGAGTGTACCAAGGGGAGAGAGGAGTTTTTTTGCCAGTGCGACTTGCTCAGATGCATTTGTAATGCCAGAATATTGAAAACAGAAATTAAAACATCGAAGTCGGATGCCACTCGTGACTGGGAGCACACCCGTTTGTTTCGCTTCTCTAGATTAATTATGGCCTAAACGGACGTTACTTTTTGGGTTGTTACTCATATCGCAAGCGTGACCAGGGAGGGGTTATCTAGCGTGCTGCGTGGATTAGTTGAGGGACGGTCGAAGCTCATTTGACGGCCATTCGCGTCAAGGTCCTATCTTTGATGTGGTGAAATGGGCCTATGCTGTACTGGTTTGCGGCAGATTGTGTACATCGCGAGTATATCCGGCCGCTGGTGGGGCACATTTGGGTCTATAATATATTTGCCGCCTGTGAGATTTGAACTCACGACCCCTGGTTTACGAGACCAGTGCTCTGCCACTGAGCTAAGGCGGCTGATATTTATCCGGCCGGTTTTGAGGCGTCTCCGCGTGAAGAAGCCAGCGAAACCTGTTTTGAGCTGTAAGGGGCATGATGATTACTCACTGCCGAAGCGCACCCGGCGGGCGGACGTTTACGCGTTTACCGTGCGTTGGGACAGCGGACGACATCATTGAGCGTGTTTGTGGACGATGCTCGTCCAAGTAACGGGTGTCGCATTTGTGCACAGACGCGCACCGCGATAACAGCCGACAACTGCATCACGGCGATATTTCGGCACGGTTTAGTAACGCAAGTGCAGGGGTTCTGACTGGGTCGAGGAGCGTGTCCGCTGGGAAGACATTAAACCGACAGTCTGCCGTAGTGCGCTCTGTTTCTGTAGACGCTGTACGTTTTTCAGATCTGCTACTTCGTCAGCTACTGCACGTTTCGCAAAGCTCTGATGACACGCACCGTTTTCCGTCAAAGGCGGGACATGGTTCCGTATGTCGAGAAAAATGCGACATATGTGCTGGCTGTTTAGTGTCGCTTTCCCCGGCTTACCGTGCCGTTCTGAAAAAAAATGGTGACACCGTCTGATTCAGGATTTCAAATGTCTGTCATCGATAGCTGCTCGTATGAAGCGTCTGCACTTAATCTAAATGCCGGCCCCATGCTGTGATGACGTCTCAGCGGACGCTTACGCTCTGCCGTCTCTGGGTTGTGCGCCGCTCTGGCGTGTAGTCTCAAGGCCATGCGTCGCTGTGGTGTGTAGCCTCAGGGCCATGCGTCGCTGTGGCGTGCAGCCTCAGGGCCATGCGTCGCTGTGGCGCGTAGCCTCAGGGCCATGCGTCACTGGCGTGTAGCCTCAGGGCCATGCGTCGCCCTGGCGTGAAGCCTCAGGGCCATGCGTCACTTTGGCGTGTAGCCTCAGCGCCATGCGTCGCTGTGGCGTGTAGCCTCAGCGCCATGCGTCGCTGTGGCGTGCAGCTTCAGGGCCATACGTGCTCTGGCGTGTAGCCTCAGGGCCATGCGTCGCCCTGTCGTGAAGCCTCAGGGCCATGCGTCACTCTGGCGTGTAGCCTCAGCGCCATGCGTCGCTGTGGCGTGTAGCCTCAGCGCCATGCGTCGCTGTGGCGTGCAGCTTCAGGGCCATACGTGCTCTGGCGTGTAGCCTCAGGGCCATGCGTCGCTCTGGCTCGGCCGCTCCCTGGCCGTGTGGCGGCTGCGTGACGGGCCGGTGCCGCGGCCTGCAGGTGGACCCAGCTGGAGTTCCTGCCGCGAGCCGGCTTCCCGATGCTGCTGCACGGCGTGCGCGGCCAGAACGTCCAGGAGGGCGACAGTCCGTCGTGGTTCAACCCGGCCGAGGCGTTCCAGGTGAGCCCTCGGCCCGCCGCTCCGCCCAGCCGGTGCTGGCCGGGAATCAACCCCCCCCCCCCCCCCCCCAGCGTGCAACCGGGCGTGCGGGCTGGTCCGCGGCAGCTCAGCTGGCTGGTCGCTGAGTGTCGGCCGCTTGAAATCACGCTCGAGGGATGAGTGGGCGAGCCTGGAGGGCCGATGTCCCGGCCGCTGTCAAGCGAGTGATGTACCCAGCGTTGTTAACCTTTAGCAGCACGTGCTCTGTATGATCGTTCATCTCAGTATGCGATGAGTCGCAGCGAAACGAGCAGAGGTTCGTGTGTACGCGAATCATTGCCGGCCGCATGACCTCTTATGAGCTCGGTGTTGGCTGTTGAGGCGTATCTGATCCCATTGCTGGGTTTGTGATGAATTTGTGAGCGTTCTTCTATGATCGTGATATAATTTATGATCGTGATGTGATCTGTTCTCGTGCTTCTGTGATCGTGATGTGATTTGCGATCGTGCTTTAGTGATCTGATGTGATTTGTGATCGCGATGTGATTTGTGATCATGGTGTGATTTGTGATCGCGCTTCTGTGGTCACGATGTGATTTGTGATCGCGCCTCCAGTCTGTTTTCTGCGTTGCGATGGATCGGCCGTGATGGTGCTGTGCCTGTGATGCCGTGGCCGGGCCCAGGTGATCCGGTACCTGCAGAAGCTCGGATCGGCTGGTGTCAGCTGGTCGCAGGTGGGCGTTATATCACCGTACCGCAAGCAGACCGAGAAGATCCGCGAGCTGATCAGCACCTTCGGCCTGCCCATGGTCAAGGTAGGCAGCTCAGGCAGACGGCTGGCCCGCGGGAGCGGCAGAACTGCCCATGGTTCAGGGCCAGACAAGCAAGGCGTGGAGTGAGTCAGCGCAACATGCGAGACGAATGCTGGCACTAACATTTGGGCAGTCGAATACTTTGAGGGTCAGACCGTGCCTGGAGTGGTCTGCTACCTTGACATAGGCCCGCTCGCTCCACATGTCGTGTCGGCGTAGTGTCGCAGCAAAGGGCAGCTCACATACGGACCGGTCCACCCAGCCCCAGGTGGGGTCGGTGGAGGAGTGTCAGGACCATGAGCGAGAGCTCGTACTGATCTGGACCCGTCCCGCCCACGGGTGGGGTCGGCGGAGGAGTGTCAGGACCATGAGCGAGAGCTCGTACTGATCTGGACCCGTCCCGCCCACGGGTGGGGTCGGCGGAGGAGTGTCAGGACCATGAGCGAGAGCTCGTACTGATCTGGACCCGTCCCGCCCACGGGTGGGGTCGGCGGAGGAGTGTCAGGACCATGAGCGGGAGCTCGTCGTACTAATCTGGACCCGTCCCGCCCACAGGTGGGGTCGGTGGAGGAGTGTCAGGACCATGAGCGAGAGCTCGTACTGATCTGGACCCGTCCCGCCCACGGGTGGGGTCGGTGGAGGAGTTTCAGGACCATGAGCGAGAGCTCGTACTGATCTGGACCCGTCCCGCCCACGGGTGGGGTCGGCGGAGGAGTGTCAGGACCATGAGCGGGAGCTCGTCGTACTAATCTGGACCCGTCCCGCCCACAGGTGGGGTCGGTGGAGGAGTTTCAGGACCATGAGCGGGAGCTCGTCGTACTAATCTGGGCCCGTCCCGCCCACGGATGGGGTCGGTGGAGGAGTTACAGGACCATGAGCGAGAGCTCGTCGTACTGATCTGGACCCGTCCCGCCCACAGGTGGGGTCGGCGGAGGAGTGTCAGGACCATGAGCGGGAGCTCGTCGTACTAATCTGGACCCGTCCCGCCCACAGGTGGGGTCGGTGGAGGAGTTTCAGGGCCAGGAGCGGGAGGTGATCATCCTGACCACGGTCCGTTCCTCGACCGCGACGCTGCAGCATGACATCATGTACCATCTGGGCTTCATGCAGGTAGGTGACGCCCAGTCAGCTGTGCCTGGCTGGCTGGGCTGGCGCTGGCGCTGGGAGCAGGACGGTAACCAGGCCATTGTTCGTTTTCATCATCATGGCTCCGTGGATCGCCCATAAGGCTAGTTCTTCAGTTCGCTCTCGAGCCGCTGCCGTGTAATGCGTCGGTTGCGGAACGTCTGTAATCAGGGCCATTCGCCGCGGTGCTCTCTGACTCCGCCTGAGGCTGAGCTGCGCCCGGGCAGCGGGCGGTCCTGTGCTCGCGCGCTCAGCCATGTCGGCGCGCCGTAACCGTGACAGCGCGCGCCCACAGAACCGGCGCCGCTTCAACGTGGCCGTCACGCGCGCCCAGTGCTTGCTGATCGTGGTGGGCAACCCGGACCTGCTGCTGGCCGACCAGCACTGGAGTCACCTGGTGCGGCACGCCGTCACCAACGGCGCCGCCATCGGCTGCGACGGCCTGCTGTAGCAGCTGGCCCGGCTGCTACAGCAGGCGACGCGGCCGACCGAGGCGCCGCCGGAGAGGGTCCGGCGGCGCTCTGTGGCCCGGCCGTGGAGCCGCCACGCGAGGCGGCTGCTATGAGAGCGCGCAGCGCGCGGCGGCGGCTTTGGTGTGGTGCAGTGGCGGTAGCGCAGTGCTGCGTGTGGTAAAAAGCACTGTGGAGGCAGCGGTTCATCGTTCTTTAGCGGTCGGGCCTTTTTTTAAACCTTACACACAACGACGCTCACGTCGCCGACACGGACTTTTGCACCTGGTTAGACGCATGTTCAGATCTCACGCGATGCGCGTCGATCTTGCTCCGCCGGTAGAAGCTCAGGTTAATCATCCTGCAGGGAATAGGAGTCAGGTTTACAGAGCTTCATCAGGTCCGCAATGTTGCCCCACGGGCAGTGATACCAAGTGGCGAGTCAAGTGCGCTGTCTTAATGCGGTGATGACGCAATGACACGACGTTTGCAAGCTTACTACTTTGTTTTCTTCGACGCAACAATCCCATCCCCAGCTGTTGTCGAAGTCATCACAGTCACTCGCCAAGCACCACCCGAAAACCACGTGTGACACAAGCTGTAGTGCCGCAGAGAGATCTGACACCAAGGCACGTTCAGAAACCGCCCCTCCATAAGCATGACATCGTTACATGGGGTCCACCAGGCGCCGCGCGACCGAAGGACGTTTACAACAGCAGCTGCCGCAGCCCCACATCCACCAGACTGGGGCATAGCCCACTCTGGCCACAAGCGGGGCTTCTGCGGGACGGAATACCTGACCCCCACACGCGTTACATGATCACCGGCTCCCGGGCCGCTAGCCACGTGACACGGCCGCCGCTCGCGAGCCGCCAGAGCACGTGACGTGATCACCGGACCCCGGGACGCTAGCCACGTGACACGACCGCCGCTCGCGAGCCGCCAGAGCACGTGACGTGATCACCGGACCCCGGGACGCTAGCCACGTGACACGACCGCCGCTCGCGAGCCGCCAGAGCACGTGACGTGATCACCGGACTCCGGGACGCTAGCCACGTGACACGACCGCCGCTCGCGAGCCGCCAGAGCACGTGACGTGATCACCGGACCCCGGGACGCGTGTTCCTGCTGAAAGTCTGCGGGGGGACGTGACCTCGCCGACAGGGCTCGTGTCTCATTGGAGGGCGGAGAGCTACCGCGCCGCCGTGCAGCGGGTGAGGCCACCGCCGTCCTCGCTCACGCCGTCCGAGCGGGCAGCCACGGCCGGGGCCGCGCAGACCGGGGCCGAGCTCAGCGGCTTTGGCTCGAGCCAGAGACGGCTTCGCGTTGTCCTGCTGCGGCGCTGGTCTACGGCGGCGGTAGCGGTGCGTCTGTCGCCGACGCTATAGGAGAATCTCGTTCTTGTAGCTGCGCATGAGGTCCTTGTGCGGCAGGATGATGCAGTTGAGCACGATCTTCTCGCGGGCCACGCTGACGTTACTCCCTGCCGACGCGGTTCCAGGGACTTCAGCGCGGGCGAGAACGACGACGGGCCGCCCGTGGCACGTGCGCGATAATTTAGCACAAGAACACGAGCGGCCGGCAGGGCTTAAAACCCACCGGCCATGGGCGATGCGTTATGACCGCATCCACGTCAGGGCGGGTGTGATGGGTCCCTACACAATTCCCCTGCGTCCCCCACACTGCTCCCTTTCATCCCCCCACACCACTCCTTTGCATATCCCCACACCGCTCCACTGCATTCCCCACACTGCTTCCCAGCTCCCCTGCATCCCCGCACCGCTCCATGCATCCCCTACACTGTTCCACTGCGTCCCCTGCATCCCCCATACCGCTCCCTTGCATACCCCACAACGTTCCACTGCGCCCCCACACTGCTCCCCTGCATCCCCAACACCGCTCTCTTGCATCCCCACACCGCTCCCCTGCGTCCTCCACACTGTTCCCCTGCATCCCCGCACCGCTCCCATGCATCCCCCACACCGCCCCTGCATGCCCGCGCCGCGTCGCTGCGCCACCCACCCAGTATGGTGATGGACGGATTGAGCTTGCCGTCGCTGCTGAAGAGCGGCACGTTGTCCATCTTGGCGAACGGCTTGTTGGGGTCGGGGTCGCAGGGCGTGCCCTCGACGCGCGACCAGGCGCCGACCACGCTGTCCCAGCCCAGCACGGCGTGCAGTACCAGCGAGTGCTCGCGCACGCGCGCCGCGCCCAGCACGATGGCCTCGCGGATGCGCACGCCCTCGCCCACCTCGGCATTCCGGCCCACGCTCACGTTGGGCCCCAGCTGTCGGCGGGGCAGGCGGTGACGCGCGCGTCACGACAGGTCGGCGGGCGTCGGCCTGGCGGCTTACCGGTGCTTCGGGAAATATGGTACAACACACTGCATGGACGTTCACCTCTGACAACACTAGACGCTTACCCAGGAGGGCACGAAGCCGGACAACATGGCAGAGAACTGGAGAGGTGCAAGAGCAGTCTGATGAAGATCACAATGGCTGTGAGGCGAGAAACGCGTGACGATGACATACAGCCCGACTGAAGACATGTTTGTAACGACCATAGACAGCGGAGATGCCGATGCCACCAACACCAGCAATGGCACGAGTTTTACACGCCACAATAAGATCAAAACTAGCGGGGAATTAAATGGGAAAAGTGTCCCTATGCCGGTCAGTGAGTCGCTGGATGTCGGTCGCGCAGGGGCCGGGTGGCGTGCGCGTACCACGGCTGTCGGGTGGATAGTGGCTGTTGGATGGATCCAGACGTCTCCGATGATCTTACATGGCTTCCCGTCCTCGGCCAAGGGCACCTGCCGACCGGTCACAAACCACTCAGAGGCGACCTCCGCCAGAAACAGCTCCAAACAAACATCAGTGATAAACTACACGATGCCCGAGCCAATTTTATCTGACAGCTGGCCAGTCAGAGACGGCCTCCGGCAGGATAGTCGACCAATCGACCAAGAGACACACATCGCTAAAGGGGCGGGGGGGGGGGATCGGAAACAGTCTCTATGGGAGCTGGCCGACCCAGGAAAGACAAAATCACAAAGAGAAGTGAGCCAAATTCCAACGCCACATGCCAACCAGAACTGACCATCCTGTCACTCCGATGAAAATGTGTCGGAAAGTTGCTTTTGAGAGTATTTCAGCTGATTCTATGCTCCGCTAGGCATGTCAGGCGGGCGCTTGGCGCCAAGCTCAAACCGTGCAGTCATTTTTGCAAGTGACTGAACACGACGCTGTTTATCTGCTGTGCAAAAAAGAACAAGTGACTGACACATCTACACGACCCTCCTACACACAATATAGCAAACACACGGCTGGTGATCGGCCAGCAGACATTCAGCAGTCCCTAACGCATTCCGCCACTAAGACCTATCCGACCCAGTCCCGGTCGGCAGTGCGCACCCCGTTGTCGCGGTACAGCTTGAGATAGTGCCGGTTGCTGTAGAGCGCAGCCGAAGCCGTCTTGATCTGGCTCCACCAGCGGCTGGTTTGGTAGACAAAGGCACGCCCCGTGCCGGCCAGCGGCGCCAGAATGTCCTGCTCCAGGCTGATGGTCTCGCCGCTGGCCGCGCCGCCCTCCACGTAGTCGGAGCTGGCGGCGCGCGGCTGGCGTCAGGGGCCGGCTCCCCAGCGGACAGGGCAGGCACCAAGGCGGCTCATACGGCCTGTAGCCACGCGGCCGGCGGCAATCAGAAACGCCCGCAGGCAAATGGAAGTAGGGGCGAGAACAAGCAGCATCAGTTAAACACAGCTCAAGACAAGGATAGTAATAGCAGGATGCGTAATGGCCGAGCGGATGGAATCTTTAGCTCACACGTGGAAGCCCGGGTTCGTGCCCCACTTGCGCCGCGCCCCTGAGCGCGTCCTCTACAGTGCTTCATTAAAGAATGCGTGATCAGGCGCGACGCGTTCCCTTGTTAAAAAGGACAATAGTGACATTCCAAGTCGGCACATAATGTGGTGGTCATTCGGGACTATGGGGCACGGACCGCAGATGAACCAAGATGTGTCCGCTTGATATGAACAGGGTCTGAAGATTTTTTTCTTCTTTTGAGTTCACAATTCTTATGCCGGCGGTATTCAACCTTACATCGGCACCCATGGTAGCAAGTCGCTAGCATTCGTGACCCTGAGCCCAGGCTGAAATCTCAAGTCTTAAAACATAAATAACGTTTGTTTGATAACATTGTTTAACCAGTACCTTCTGGCTTCTAGTATATTACAGATGGATCAATGCTACCATAAAAATTCTGAACTTATATGTGCCTGTAAAAGGGCGGTCATTTGTGTCCACACTGCCTGACTTCAGGCGTGCTTGCGATGGTTCAGTTGTTATAAGAATGCGTAAAAAGTAAAAGTCGTGCCGCCCGACACTGCAGGTGGGACCACCGGCTCCTGCGGTCCGGCCGACGGCCGCAGGTCAGTGCTGTCACGGCCTCGGCAATCCCCGCAGGCAGGGCTTGACCACCTGCAAGACGCATCCCCACCGTACCAGCTCACCTGTACAGCTCCTCCTGCTTGCGCTTGAAGACGGCGCCGATCTGCTGGAAGATGTCGCTGCTGCAGATGTAGATGCCCGTGTTGATGAGCGTCGAGACGAACGTCTCCGGCTTCTCCACGTAGTGCACCACGGCGTGTGTGGCGCTGTCCTCGGCGATGCAGCCGAAGTTGACGGACTGCTGGCGCGTGGCCTCGGTGGCCATGACGGTGAGGAGCGTGCCGTCCGGCCGCGCCCGGTGGAACGCCAGCAGCCCGTCCAGCCGGAAGTCGCCGCACACGTCGCCGTTGAGCACGAAGAAGGCGTGCGGCGCGCCAGCGCGGATCTGGTCGCGGAACTGGTAGAGGCCGCCGGCGGTGCCGAGCGCGGCGTACTCCTGCAGGTAGCGCACCGTGACGCCGTAGCGCTGCGTCATGTCAGCCAGGAACTGGTGCAGTTCGGCGGCCGGGTACACGCCCAGCAGCAGTACCTCGCGCAGTCCCGGCACGGAAGCGCATGCCTCGATGTGGTGCTGGATCACCGGCCGGCCGGCAACCGGGAACAGTGGCTTGGGCACCCGCAGCGACAGAGGTCGGAATCGTGTGCCTGCCAGGGTCAGCGGGTGGCCACCATGAGCACATTACCAGCGAGAGGGGCAGGGCAGTACCCCTGGCAGCTGGCATTACACCAACCTGAACCAGTGGTAACACTGCATTTAACCTGGCAGCAACATGCCAAATTAAATCTGGCCATGGCACTGCTACCTTACCACTTTAACAAAACTACATGTTATGATATTGCATTCATCTCTACTTTGACTTATCATATAAATCTACATATGTCACATCATGGCCACATCATGTCATATAAAGTTACTTTTCAAAAATGCTTCAGGTGTATAGCCACATGAAGTTAACTTTGCAACACAAAAAAATCCCTAAAACATTGATCTTGTACATGCTGAAGTTAGTGGTACCAGTGGACCAGCATTGCTTGAATATATACCATGCATGTGCTACAGTTGCTACTGCAATACAAGTAACCATTGCAGTTGACACACTGTTAAATCCCAATTATTCAGTTATGCTGTCACAAAGCTGTTACATCAGACACATTAAGCATGACATGTAAATATTTGCAGCCTAGCATGTGCCCACTGCACATGCCATATCGTATGCTGAATTATATGATAAACAAGACTATCTTTCATAAAAGGAGGGTAAGGCAGTTGGTTCAAATTTCAATGGGGTACAAATCTTGGATAACGCACAACTGCCTATTGCCCAGGGGCATATCTAAACGTGACAAACCTTTTTGAGGGCCGCCAATCAATATAACAGCTTTCAACATCATTGAACTGTAGTCAGTTACTTCTATTAAGTTGAAAAAACGCTACGACTCCTATACCCCCAAGACAATGACGTCCCCTGTTTAGTAAACAGAACCCCCGCTCTACCACGGCTGCAAACGATGCCTACATTTTCAATACATCTTTGGCGCCCTTGCTTCATATACTTGTTGGAATGCAGTCAATACAGGAAAGATAAACGGTGCGTTATTATTTTCAAGGCTAGAATGTAGGCTTTCGTGAAAGTGTGAAGTAGGGCCTAATATTTCTCGAGAAATGCTGTTTGAGTTCACAACCCCTTGTTTCAGTGCACACACTAATACAAGAGCTCATGAGCTGTCATATTTTCAAAAGTCAAACAGCACAAGGTCATACGACTTTTAGGTTTATGTTCAGCGAACCATTGCATCCAGAAATTTAGTTCGTCTTAGATTATTACTGTTGCCAGAAGCTATTAAGAATACTTTTTCCTTCCACACACAACTCTATGGTTAATTTAGATATGCAAGAAGCATTTCCACGATCGGAAAATATTTGGCAGTATATCAGCGTCCCTATTTTCAATACCTTGATTCTGCTCCATCTTCCTTTCCCGTTCTCCGTCGTGCGTGTGTGTTTGCGTATGTGTGTTAGGGTGGCGCCGTTGGTTGGGCGGGTGCTTTAGGTAAGTTTGAGTGACCCTCCTCTGGGCATTCCTGCAAAGCGTTCATTCCAGTGCTGGTAGTGCGTCTCAAAAGTGTCGTGCTTTGTTCTGGTCTTTGATGGAGGCGCCCCTCCAAGCTTCGATTGTGTTAAGCCGTACAATTCCAGTTTTTGCTGTTGTAAAATGCAGTTTTGCGCAGGGAATGCCAATGAAAGCGGTAGCATCAGTGACTGAAGTGTGGAATGGCCCATAGGGGGGGGGGGGGCAAGCGCCTTTTCATATTTGACCAGATGCATTTTTGCCTTTTAGACATTAAGCTCTGTGTTGTGCATTTCATGGCAAAACAGTGCTTAAAAGGGATCCTTGGTGTTCCCAATGAAGCTTTTGGGGATTGAAGGGCCCATTCAGATGTGCTCTGTGGTCAGGGCATCTGGTATTACCCTTGAGTCAGGAGTAATATCAGAGAGACTCATGGAAAATTAGTTAGGGTGCTGGTAGTTGGTAGCCTGTAAAAAAATTATGGCATTTATAGTTAGTGAAACAATGGGTTTTAGCATAAAACAGCAGGTAACAGTGAAAGGAAAATTAAATAAGAGCCAGCAAAGTTCCAATTAATGGTGATGAATCATAGTTTTATGGTTGATTGTGTTGTGCATGTATGTTGGCATCACCTACAATTCACAAATTAGAGGCCAAAGTCATTAAAAATAGCATAAATCTATCAATTTTGGAAGCATTATTATTTCATTTCCCCCTATGACCTTGATTTTTAAGTGTTAGGAATTTGTTAGGAATTAGCTGGATGGGTGGGTGTTGGTTGAGTAATAACACTGAATAAAATGCAAATACTTGTGTGCAATCAACAAATCATGTTTATCTGTTTATATATACCTGGTCAATACACCAACATACCTATAGCTTATGTAGTATTTTCCCATGTATGATAATAAACTGACAAGTATACCTTATAGTTGAATGCTTAGTGCCAAAGGGGTTTTAGTCCTGTGTCACTCCTCTTAAGTAGGTAGATGGTTTCTTTATGTTATGAATATCTTGGTGCTGTCCTTTATGCATATAACTGAAATTTTCAATATTTCAGAGCCTGCATGCTTTTTTGAGGACTTACGGCCACTAGGGAGAAAGGTTGTCCATGCCTTTCATTTTCTGTAATAATGCATACATTAGGTCAGGACTAAAGAACTATTTAGTCCAAAGGTGACTTTTAATGTTCTCCATTAGGGTAACAGCCTTTTGGGATCATTGGTGCCACAATCAGTCTGTAAAGACTGAGTAAGCTCCTACATGCATCCAAGATTTAGGTCACTATTTTGTGGGTGTTATTTATAGTGTATTACAGCCATTAGGTTACAATGATCAGTCAGCTTAACTGCTTCAGAATAGACAGATTTAGTTATTTCAAGTCTTCAAAGAACATTTTTTTGTTGACATGTTGTATTATGTATAGAGTGGCTGCATGACAAAAACTCCATTTCAAATTTCATTGATAATTTTTTTTAAATCTTAGATTGCACATACATTTTGAGATCATTGTGTACCTTATGTCCTTAAGGTAGGGAGGTCCAAGTGAGTGAAAGTGATACAATCAAGTCAAAGATACCATGTTGCATTGGAACAGGATAATTAAGCTTAAGCCTAAGCAGTCAGATATGCTATACACATGACTTTTGAAGGAGGAGTAAGCAGTCATGCATGGGCAAATCATCAACTGACTGGAATGGCCAGGGTTTTGATGGCAGATACAGCAGATCCCTCAAAAGTTAAATGCTAGCTAGCATCTGGGCAGTATGATGCCAGCACATCCCCTGAAGCAAGACTGGTTGTTCACAGGTTTTTTTGTTATTGCAGGGTTGCTGTCAACATCCACTTCAGAAATATTGGTGTGAAGGCAGAGTCCATTTAAGTGCTGACAACTAATAACATTTGGTATTGGTGCCACCAATGGTAATGTGCTCTGATATTTTAGTTCTGTGACAAGGACAAGTCAGCACTCAGCACACTTTGAAGATTTTAAATAATTACTGGGTGTGATGGCTGATGCAGACAAGCTGAACATTGACAGTATCATTGCTCGGTTGCTGGAAGGTGAGTGAGTCTGCAAGATTGTGGGAGTTACATAATGTATTCTCAGTCTGATCCCAAACTTCTCATAAACCTCTGAGAACAAGATCATGATCATTCTTCAATTTTTCTGTCTGTCATTTGTTGTGTCATTGTTTTGTTGCTTACCAGTTTTATCACATGTTCAGTTTCATTTTTTAGCCATTTTATCTACATGTATAATGTTGCTGGCAAATGCACATCAGCTTACAATATAGTTGAAGTTGTGTGCATCAGCAAGCTTCTGATTGAGGGAGGTGCCCCTCCCCATTCCTGTGACATTTGAGCCAGTGGCTGAGGGGGGCACCAGTTCATGACGTGTGTAAGATGATGGCAGACTGGGACACATGTGAGCTGGGGGAGGCATCAAACTGTGACTTATGTGAGCTGGGGGAGGCATCCACCCATGACAAGTGAGCTGGGGGAGGCATCCACCTTGTGACTTATGTGAGCTGGGGGAGGCATCCACCTGCAACCTATGTGAGCTGGCAGCGCTGAGAGACCCCTGCCGCTGCTTACCATTGGTAGAGGGAGGCCCCCGCCTGTAACACGTATGAGCTGGTGGCGGAGGGAGGCCCCTGCCTGTGACGCGCGGGAGCTGGCAGCAGAGGGAGGCCCCCACCTGTGATGCGTGAGAGCTGGCGGCGGAGGGAGGCCCCGCCTGTAACACATGTGAGCTGGCGGTGGAGGGAGGCTCCCGCCTGTGATGTGTGAGAGCTGGCAGTTGAGGGAGGCCCCCGCCTGTGACGCGGTGAGAGCTGGCAGCGGAGGGAGGCCCCCCCCCCCCGCCTGTGACGTGTGAGAGCTGGCAGCAGAGGGAGGCCCCCGCCTGTGATGCGTGTGAGCTGGCGGCAGAGGGAGGCCCCTGCCTGTGACGCGTGAGAGCTGGCAGCAGAGGGAGGCCCCCGCCTGTGATGCGTGTGAGCTGGCGGCAGAGGGAGGCCCCTGCCTGTGACGCGTGAGAGCTGGCAGCGGAGGGAGGCCCCCACCTGTGACACGTGTGAGCTGGCGGCAGAGGGAGGCCCCTGCCTGTGACGCGTGGGAGCTGGCGCGGAGGGAGGCGCCTGCCACTGACGCTAGCCGTGTCGTGCCAGTGCGGGGAGCGCGACCCGGCAAGAATGTGCAGCTGACCGAGACCGAGATCCGCGGCCTGTGTCTCAAGTCGCGCGAGCTGTTCCTGCTGCAGCCAGTGCTGCTCGAGCTGGAGGCGCCGCTCAAGATATGCGGTGAGTCGCGTCGCTCGGCGGCTGGGCGGAGCCGCGCCAGGCCGAGGTACGGAGCGGCCGCCGCACCGCTGATGCCGGCTCTGTGGCTGTGACGCTGCTGCTGCCAGTCTTCACAGCCGTCAGTTCCATTTTGCTTAGGCCGATAAGATGTCGGCAACTGATTAGAACCTGTACTGTGAAGTGTAACGACCCCAATCGCGTGATAAGATTGTCAGACAGAACGAAGGTGTGCTAGGTGAGGTGTTATGATGCATCACATGATTTTGTCATTTGTTTTCTGCCATCTGTGCTGCTGAGATTTACATATTTGTCATGGTCGACTTCTTCGTATTTCTACTCGGCTCATTATCATGTGCCATGTAATTAAATTGCTATTTTTAGAAACCTCAGAAAAGCAGGTGCCAAAACAGTTTTGCCCGCTTTTTTTATGGATGCGAGAAGGTAAGAAGATTGGTATGTGAATGTGTCTAAACTGGGCGCTTTTTTTCTGCGGACGTGTTTTGAAACGTGTTCCTGATGCGAATTTCTCCTACTCCTGATATGACGAATATGGTCATAATTGAGTTACGGCTGGCTATTCCATGGCAGTGCATTGGTGGTGCGGTGTCTGCGCCTTGTTCACCGCGTTTCCCGCATCACGCCGTGCCGGATGTGACGAGCGCATAGGCGCAAAATGACCATTGTAGTCGACGCGCTCTACAGAAGCGATGAACAACAGGCGGTCGCGCTCGACCTGTGGCGCTCTGGTGTCACGTGACCGCGGGTCGCGCCCGCAGGCGACATACACGGCCAGTACTATGACCTGCTGCGACTGTTCGAGTACGGCGGCTTCCCTCCCGAGTCCAACTACCTGTTCCTCGGCGACTACGTGGACCGGGGCAAGCAGTCGCTCGAGACCATCTGCCTGCTGCTCGCCTACAAGATCAAGTACCCGGAGAACTTCTTCCTGCTGCGGGGCAACCACGAGTGCGCCAGCATCAACCGCATCTACGGCTTTTACGAGGAGTGTGAGTGTGTCGCCCTGGGCCCGGCCGGGCGGCTATGGCCGGCTGTCGGGTTTTGTCGCCGCGCTGAGGGCTGGCTGGTGGTGGTGGAGGGCTGAGCAACGCGTCCCTCGTTACTGACCGCCGCTGCGCACGTAGTCTTAGTCGTAATAGCGGTCTTAGTCGGCTGGTACAGCAGTGTAAGCCGTGTTAAGACGCTGGATTGTGCGTGGTCGGATTTCTGCGGTTGGTTCTGTTTTCGGAGGCGCGGCCGGTGCAGGGGGTGGAGGGAAGGCGGGCAGCTGCCCTGCCGGGTGACGCGTGCTCCGTCCGGCAGGCAAGCGGCGCTACAACATCAAACTGTGGAAGACGTTCACCGACTGCTTCAACTGCCTGCCGGTGGCGGCGATCGTGGACGAGAAGATCTTCTGCTGCCACGGCGGCCTGTCGCCGGACCTGCAGAGCATGGAGCAGATCCGGCGCGTGCCGCGACCCACAGACGTGCCCGACCAGGGCCTGCTCTGCGACCTACTGTGGTCCGACCCCGACAAGGTAACCCGCGCCGGACGGCCTCAGGTGCCGGAGACGGGGGCCTGCTCTGGTCCGACCCCGATAAGGTAACCTGCGCCCGACGGCCTCAGGTGCCGGAGACGGGGGCCCGCTCTGGTCCGACCCCGACAAGGTAACCTGCGCCCGACGGCCTCAGGTGCCGGAGACGGGGGCCCGCTCTGGTCCGACCCCGACAAGGTAACCTGCGCCGGACGGCCTCAGGTGCCGGAGACGGGGGGCCTGCTCTGGTCCGACCCCGACAAGGTAACCTGCGCCGGACGGCCTCAGGTGCCGGAGACGGGGGCCTGCTCTGGTCCGACCCCGATAAGGTAACCTGCGCCCGACGGCCTCAGGTGCCGGAGACGGGGGCCCGCTCTGGTCCGACCCCGACAAGGTAACCTGCGCCCGACGGCCTTAGGTGCCGGAGACGGGGGCCCGCTCTGGTCCGACCCCGACAAGGTAACCCGCGCCGGACGGCCCCAGGTGCCGGAGACGGGGGCCCGCTCTGGTCCGACCCCGACAAGGTAACCTGCGCCGGACGGCCCCAGGTGCGGGAGACGGGGGCCCGCTCTGGTCCGACCCCGACGAGGTAACCTGCGCCCGACGTGTGACCTCGGGGCCCGTCATGGCCCGATCTCGAGACGAGGTGCGAACTTTGGGCTGACACGGACATGGTAATCGGGGTGACGGATTACCGTCAACCTCGTTGCGCCCGCTATGGCTCTCGAGATAAGCTTGTAACCGTGTTGAAAGTAGGCACTACTAAGAAACTGAACAGTGCAACCGATCTGCACGTGCACACGCCAATGGACGACCGCGTTCACGTGTGGGGACTTTCACGATGGATGTCTCTGGTTCGACCCTGGTATTAGACATAGTCCTTGGTCTGAAAGGTCCTGTGCTAGCCACCAGCCATATTGTATGACGTCTGTCCGTGTGGAGCCGGCTGCCGCGTCTGACGGGCTCCCCCCGCAGGACACCATGGGCTGGGGAGAGAACGACCGGGGCGTCTCCTTCACGTTCGGTGCCGAAGTGGTGGCCAAGTTCCTGCACAAGCACGACTTCGACTTGATATGCCGCGCTCACCAGGTCAGTCCGGTGGGGCCCGGACCCAGCGGGCGGCTGGGCTTACCCGACCATTGCCCTGCAGTGCCCTGGCGGCCGCCGTGGCCCGCGCGCGCTCTCGCCGTCGTCGGTTGCCTTTCGAGTTTTTTTTTTTCGAACGGAAAGGCTTCACTGATAGGTCGTGAGCAGGTCACTGTCTCGCACAATATGCGTTCTTAAGCCTTCCGCTAAATTCGACAGTCGAGTTCATTGTTCGCATGCCTGGTTTGCACGACAGTGTTTTGCATGACGTCACGATACGTCGTCATGAGCTGATTTCACCTGGCGGCTTCCGTGCCGGCCGTGGACGCGGCCGCGGCGCGGTTGGTCGGCGTGTGATATCCCTCCTCTCATGGCAGGTGGTGGAGGACGGTTACGAGTTCTTCGCCAAGCGGCAGCTGGTGACGCTGTTCTCGGCGCCCAACTATTGCGGCGAGTTCGACAACGCCGGCGCCCTCATGTCGGTGGACGAGAGCCTCATGTGCTCGTTCCAGATCCTCAAGGTAAGTGTGGCCGGCTCGTGGTCTGGTCGGGTGGCTGGCTGAGGCGGGATGACCGTCCCTATGCCGTACGGCGACGAGAGCAGCACTGAAGTGGAGGTAACAGTTGTGGAGTTGTTCTTCTCGCCATTACTAGCATGGGGATGTTAGCCACCAAGTGATCACCGCGTGGCAATGACGGAGTCAATGACGACTAGTGGAGTATATGAAATATCATGACTGAACCGTCAACCGCGCAGCGAAAAGTTTCGCAACGAGCCTCTCCGCTTTGCTGTACTGATCTACGACTGCGAATTCCAGTAGGTATTTCGAAATACCCCCGGTTCCTCCTTGTTATTAAAACAATGTATGTTGGGTGTCATTTTGGGGAATTGGTGTGTGGAATGGTCTCATCATCGACTTTGCGCATTCCTGGGAATAAGAACTGATGTTGAAATCGGTACTAATTGCCATTTGTGTATTGGCTTATTATTGATTTATTTGTGCGCCGTATGACAAAGCGGTTTGCGTCGTTTGGCCCACATCATAGGAATTAATTTACGTTTTGTTTTCTGTCTATGCTATCTGGCACCACTTCCCAAGTCAGAGAAAGCATGCAAATAAGCAGCCTACACCGATGGCATACGATACAGCAGCCATGCGTGCCAGGCTTCTGTCAGATTCTACGGCGGAGCCCCGGGCGAATGTAGCGGACATGTTGACCGCGGCGGGTCTGCGCCGCCGCCGGACGCTGACCTGGCGCTCCCCGCCCCCGCAGCCAACCGACCGCAAGAAGATGTACGGCGGCGTCAACGCGGCGCGGCCGGCTATCCCTCCGCGCGGCGGCTTCCCCGGTGTGAACAAGAATAAGAAGAAGTAGCCAGCCGACCGACGCGCCACTTTCATAGTTCTTTTCGCTGGCGGCCGGCCGGGGGCGCGCTGGGCGCCCGGCGCCGCGCCGCCTGGAGGCAGCTGACTGACGGCTGGGTGCGGCCCGGCCGGCGCCGCTGGCGGGCGGGTCCGGCCCCGCACTGGTGCTCAGAGGCGGTGTTGTGTGCTGCCGCTGCCGGCTCTGTTGTCGCGCAGTACAAATAGTGTTCTGTGGCCCTGACGGCAGCCGTGCGCCGCTGCCCGGCCCGGCCGTGCCTCGGCCGGCAAACCAATAAACACCTCAAACAGCGCTCTGTTGGACACCGACGCTCGCGCTGAGAGTCACGGATATGACCCACACGTGGTCCTGTGACCACTGAGCCGGCTCACTAGTGTGTCTTTATTTATGACTTGGCCTAAAACGGTGACCGCTGAGGTGATGTCCGCAACAAGCATTCAATATATCTTTTTGTCCCTGATGATGCATTGCTGATGCTGCATGTTGGCGCCGTTGACGTCACGGTGCTGAAAAACGGCCGTTACTCGCGACTGATATATTCCATCTCTGGGCTCGAGGCGAGCAGCTATCAGTATAACCACCAGCCGAATGAGATGGACTGTCGGCACGTGCGCGCTGAAACGGCCGGCCAAGAACCATGAAACTCCGTAATTGACGATAGCCCGGGCGGTGGACGGGGCAGAGCCCCGCACGTTCCCCGGCGTCCTTCTCGACCTCGCTTTACGGAGTGCACTCAACACGCTCTCCACGACACGCTCAAAAAGCCTCGGAGGCTGCATTTAAAAACATCTACAAATCTGGCGTGACACATGCTAAATACAACGTGCCAACTGGCGGTGCCCTGAGATTGGCGCCGTCCCGTCGCGGCACTGATTCGGGGTGATCCGATCTGTGTCTGCACGCGTCTGGCGCACCATCTAGCGGAGCCCGCCCAGCAGGCAGTGGTGACGTCAGCCGCCAGGCGGCGCGGTGAACGCGCCCCAGCTGTTGCGGCCGTGCAGCAGCAGGTCGTCGCGGTTGAGCCGGTCGAGCCGGGCCAGCTCACGCCGCACGTAAGCCAGGGTCTGCTCCAGCGCGGTGGCGTCCCGGCCGGAGCTCGAGAACAGGCGCCGCCAGAGCGCGCCGGCCAGCACACGGTCCTCGGTCAGGCCCTCGTCGTAGCCCAGCAACGCCGCCTGCCGGGTGCGCGCGTACGCTTCAGGCCTCCATGCCACCGACACGATCTGGCCGTCAGTGACGTACAGCGGGCTGTTGCATCACAACTGCGGGGGTATGCCACATCCATACCTCACGCGCCCGGCGCGGACGTGCGTAGGCGCCCCATCGGCTCCGCTAACACAGGATGATAAATGATACTGAACGCACATGCTAAAGCTGGTGATGCTATCAGGAAACTTATAATAATCGTTCTAGTACCTATGGGAACGAGGTAGCACTGTCAGCGCGTCTGTGAATACGAGAGACGCAAGAGGAACTGAACGCTTGAAGAGCCAAGCCTGCACACTTCATATCAGCTCGGTCAAGAGCCAGGGCACAGCCACGGGGCGCGCCGCTCACCTGGAAGTGTTGGTTGGTCTGCTGGAGCTGCTCGCTCCGCACCGTCGTCGACACGGGGCCCAGCTTCTTGGCGCGCGTCTCCAGGTCCTCCCACATGGCCGTGATCAGCTGATTGCGGCAGAACTTGCCCTCGGCGCCGTCGTCGCCCAGGCGGACGCAGATCATCCAGACGTGCAGCTCCGTCACCAGGTACCTGGGGCCGGGCGGCGCCCCAGCACCGGTCACTGGCCGGCCAGACGGTGGCACCTCATGCGCATCCCGGTGTCCGCGTTGAGCATCCACATACAAATCGCGGACGTGGAAGATTGAAATACGCCTCGTGAAATATCGTGGTGGAATCCGTGTGGCTCTCGGTGAGCGGCCCCGGCCGCCACACCGTGATCGGTGCCATCTACCGACCATAGGGAGGACCAACGTCCCAATGCCTGGAGAGCATTAGGGACGAACTACAGACCACCGTCGCCACAAAAAAGCGGCATTTGCACTGGGAGACTTCAACATAAACCTCCTCAACCCGGAGAGCTATGGTGTCCGCGGTTTTCAGACCATCCCGAGAGACTCAAATTTCGAACAGCTGGTCATCAAGCCCACCCGCCTTCACCCCACACCAACACTGCTAGACCTGATCGTCACCGACGTGACCGGTCTCCGGGACTCAGCTGAGGTTCTCCCCGAGCCTGTGGCGGACCACCAACCGGTGCTACTCCGCGCTCCCGTCCCCAGAGAGGGCCGGCGTTCCGTCACCACCACTGTGCGACCGTGGAAACGCGTCGACTGGGACGCGTTCAACCTAAGTCCGCTGCTCACAGATTGGGAGCCGCTCTACGCCGCTGGCGCGGCCAATGGCACGGTGGCCGCGTTTGTGGAAGTGTGAGCGTCGCTCCCAGATGTGCAGCGGCCCTCTGACTGGGCGGCGAGATTTCGAAAGTTGCCTCAAGCAGCTCGGACTGCATCCAGCGGGAGGGCGTGACACACTCGATCATATGGGCACCCGGGCGGACGCACTCAATGCCCACTTCGCCGCCGTTGGCTCCCGCATCGCTGCGGAGGCGGCGGCGGTGCGTGGTAATGCGGGTGCGTCCCGGCTGGACCGCGCCCGTACCGTGTCTGCCTCGGCGTTCTCCCCGCATCCAGCCGCTCTACTGGAGCTTTCTGCAGCCATCAGGAAGATGAACGCGTCGAGGGTTGTCGGTGTTGATGGTGTACCACCCTATGCAGTGAAAAAGTGTTTCCCTGTAATCGACGCATATCTTTAACATCTGATCAACTTTTCTGTCATGTCACGCACCTTTCCGTCTGTTTGGAAGATCACGCACCTCACCCAGATGTTCAAATAAGGGGCTCGATCAGACCTGAACGCCTTTCGGCCCATCTATTTTCCCTCTGTACTGTCGAAAATTACCGAAAAGGTCGTCCGCTCGCGGCTCACTTCTAGCTTTCTTGACAATCATGTACTGACGCCATCGCAATATGCTTACCGTCTGCGTCACTCGACAGGGGACGCCGTGATCGACGCTGTCGGGCGGCTGGCAAGGGCTGTCGTCAACAGCCATGTCGCGTCGATAACGACCATCGACCTTAGCAAAGCCTTTGACGGCGTTGATCACGACGTCCGCCTCAGCAATCTGGACTGGTGCGGGGTGTCCTCGGAACGGTTTCGGGATTACCTGAGCGGTCGGAAGCAGGTGGTCAGTGGCGGCTCGGCTGCCTCATCTCTATCCCACGGGGTGGCCCAGCGATCCCTTGCCGGCCCAATCCTGTCCCTCATCTTCATCGACAACCTTTGCAGCTTCCTACCCCACGGCCGCCTACTATCCTACGATGGTGACACACAACTCCTGGAATCCGCTGCCCCGATGTCGTCGGCCTGTCCAACCTGAAAGCCCGTGCTGATGAGTCCATTCGGTGCCTTCAAAACTGGTTTGTCAAATAGCCTTAAAAATACCAAAACGACAGACTTCATGCTGATCGGCCCCAAACCCTCTATCACAAACACCGGTAACTTCCACATTACCATCTCCGACACAAACATTCATCCATCATCTTCAGTGAAGGTACTGGGTGCACTCCTCAACGGCCACCTCACCTGGGAACCCACATCTCCTCTCTCGTTCGGCGCTGTAATGCAATCCTCGTATGCCTGCTCAAAATCCGTCACCACTTCACGCCTGAGGTTGTGAAGCTCCTTACCCAAATCCACATATTTCCCCTCATCCTCTACTACCTGTTCATCTGGGGTGGAGCGGCCGAGCGTCGCCTAGACAGGGTGCAAAGGGTGATGCACTTCACAGCCAGGCTGGTGAGTGGTGTCCGCCGCAGCGCTCACGTTTCATCCGTTCTGGACGCGCTCGGCTGGCGTAGCGTCACGGCACTCGTGCACCACCGGGACTTCCTGAATGTTTACAGGGCACTGCACGTCCCCGGATCTCCCAGTGCATTGCGAGCTCTAATCGTAACGCGCGCCGAGTATTCCCAATGCCAAACTCGGGCTGCTTCGGGCGGTGTCTGCTCGCTACATTTGCCATGCTTCCGACTGATGACCACCCAGCGACATTTTCCGGACCGCGCCGCCGCCACGTGGAACCGGCTGCCCGCGGTGACCGCCCACGCCCGCTCGCGTCAGGCGTTCTTGACTGCTTTAAATCACTGATTCCTTGACTGAAACTGTGTATTTATGCGTATGTGTGTACCTCTGTACTGTGTGTGGGTTATTTTTCCTCATACGACTAGGCGCAGAACAACCACCACGTGGATGCGCCTTAAAAAGAATGTATGTAACTGTAACTGTAATGCCTGTAGGAGTAATATCAGCTGTGACCGAGCTTCTAAACGTCGATACGAGATCTACTGCGGTATACACAGATCTACTGCGGATACACAGATCTCCCACCTCGCTGGGCGCCACCACCACTGAGCGTGGCCACCGCCAGCCGACTCACCACAAGAGTCCGGCCGCCGCCAGCCGACTCACCACGAAAGTCCGGCCGCCGCCACCCGACTCACAAAGACAGTCCAGCCGCCGCTACCCGACTCACCACGGGAGTCCAGCCGCTGCTGCCCGACTTACCATGAGAGTTCAGCCGCTACCCGACTCACCAGGAGAGTCCAGCCGCCGTCACCAGACTCACCACGAGAGTACGGCCGCCGCCAACCGACTCACCACGAGAGTCTGGCCGCCGCCACCCGACTCACTAAGGGAGTCCAGCCGCCGCTAGCCGACTTACCAAGAGAGTCCAGACCCCATCACCCGACTCACTACGAGAGTCCAGCCGCCGCCAACTGACCCGCCGCGAGAGTCCAGCCGCCGCCAGCCGACTCACCACGAGAAACGGCCGCCGCCATCCGACTCACCACAAGAGTCCAGCCGCCGCCAGCCGACTCACCACGAGAGTCCGGCCGTCACCAGCCGACTCACCACGAGAGTCCGGCTGTCACCAGCCGACTCACCACGAGAAGAACGTGTCGGGCATCTGGCAGAGCTGGAAGAACTCCTGGTAGTTGGGGTGGTCGGCCGCCGACTCGTACAGCCGGTAGCCGGCGAAGCGCAGCCGGGCGCGCGACACATTCAGCACGCCCAGAGAGTGCAGCACGCTGCGCACGGCGCCGCCCGGCGCCAGCAGGTCGCGCAGGGGGGCCGTCGGCTGCGGCCCTGTGTGGAGCCGCGCCGCACCGGGCCGCCGACAGCGCAGCCGGACATGACAGCGGTAAAGCAGCTGGACAGCACTGTGATGTCTCAAAGAGGTGGGATCCGCAGACGGCTGACGAGGTGCTGGGGCAGGGCCGTGGCGGTGCCAGCCGAGCCAGCCGCAGCGGGGCCAAGAGCAGGCGCATGGTAGCGTCTGTGGCAGGCAGAGAAGATGTGTGGTGCCGTGATGCAGTGCAATACAGTTAGTCCAAAATAATCATATGGTCAACATGAATCACCCAAAAATGTATGGTACACATCTTGGATAATTTTATGCTATCTCTGGTGCATTGGAGATCCACAGAGGGCACAAATATCTGCATATGGGTATCCAGCAATGCTCTAGGGAGCATCACAACATTCAATGCAGTGACATGAGCCAACATAAATGTGAGAGGGTAAAATACTAGGGGAACATTTTTGAGGATGAGGATGACATGCCAGAGAGCAATAGTACAGTGTCAATACCACATTTACAAAACACATGATGTGAGATCTTAATATAACTTACCAAAGTAGGTCATGCTTAGATTAAAGCTCACAGAAGTGGCAAATAGACAGAAACCAATGCCTTATAGATTGTTGGTGAAGTAGAGCCACATGAGTAAATGTTAAATGGCCAAATCATTTGATCATTATTTACAGGCAAGATAAAAAAGTTGTGAACACCTTTCAAAGAGCATAGCCACAGCTTGGCAGCAAATTAATTACTAGAGATTATATAACATAAACTAATTACCAGCATGCAGGACATGACAGACATATCAACCCCATGCTTGGAACATACCTACTTTGGAACTTCCTTGCACTAACAACGTGAACTACCCACACAAAAAACTCGAAGTGAAAGAAAACATCACAATTAGAAATGACACAATGCAACAATTCAATCCCCTTTCTTCTCAGCTCCTTAATCAACAACTGAATGAAATGCAGGAACAATCATGACACTGCAGCTGTAGCAGCCACAGCTTGGGAATATCTTTAGTACAGCTGATGCTTGGGGAGGTTCATGCATTACAGGATAGTGAGCAGGTGCAACATAGTGCACAAAATGCCCCAAGAGATGCGATCAAAACCCGACACGGTTTAGAACTAGGCCAATCAATTAGCACAATGACACAAAAACAAATTTTACAATAATGGTGGAAATGCTGCTAACCGAACACATGTGCAGCCTCGCAGCACAGATTACCTTCCAATCAACACTTGCATAAGCCGAATGCCCTCTCTATGCACTAATCCTGTTGCTCTTGATGCAATTCAATTTGAATAGCCATACGACACTCGCCTCTTCCTCACACACATTGCATAATGTCCATGCTCGCGGCTCGCTTATTTTAGTGGCTTTAGCTTACGTTATTCATCCGTAAAGAAAAGCCGGGCTTCGTAAATGATCCGCGCAAAAACCAGCTCGTCCTAACTATGTCAGGGGCCACTTTACAGAGGAGAAGCACAGGAAAACCGCACGCAACCAATTTTGCTTTCATAGGCTAGGCAAAACGGAAAACATGACCAGCAAGGGCCGTCATTCCAGGAAGGGACGGACAACACGTACTCCAGCCTAGTCGGTGCGGATCCGTTCTAAGAGGCAAGGCCGCTAAGAGGGGAACCGTGGTTAGTACTAATTCGTGCTAAAACTGGCGGAGTCTGGCACACATAGATACTAAACCACGCAGGCCGGTAACCCAAGGCTCCACAGAGGAAAAAAATGAAGGGCTCGTAAGGGACGAGAGTGGTGTTACGCCCCAGACCCAAGAGTATGGCTAGTGATCCCCCAGCGCACCAGCCTGTGTGCGGGCCTGCCTCCAGTTCACACGCATCTGTTTGACTGTTCTGACGCTATCTCACTTCGTTTATCCGTCCTGTCCTGGGCCTGCCCTTTGGATCACACGCATGTTTGACTGCCCTGCCGCCATCCCATTTTGTCCATCCGTCCCGTCCTGGACCCGCCTTCTAGTTCACACGTATCTGAATGATCTGGCACAATTTCCTTTAGTCTATCCGTCCTGTTCTGTCCTGCCCTGCAAGACCGTACGGAATGCGGCCGTGGTAATATGAGGAGATTGAGTAACTTCGTAAGGGCACATGCACTGGTTTACTTCATCCGAGTCTCCAACGCACATCATGGGTCCCCACGGCCGCGGTTGTCAATCAGTTCGTTTGGCCCTGAACGCGATCACACCAAGCCTGTGGGTACACGCTGGGGCACGGCCTGGCGTCATGGCCAATTCCGGGCTCCCTAATATCGAACAGCATACACGAACAACTTGTAGACCGAAGTGTTCGTCTGGCTAACTGCCGCCAGGTGAAATAGCGCACCAATAGCAGGCATACCCGGTAGGCGGCAGACAAGAAAACGACACAAAATGTGTCCTATAAGTTTCGGCCACCATCCTTTTGCTTCACTGGATTGCGTGTATCGCAGACGACTGAAAATTGCAGGCTCCTCCCAGGTATCGAGCACAACACAATTGCTATCATGTATTTCAACTGCCCTCAACACAACAAAGCAAACGCGTATGCCCGGATCACCCCGCACACCATCCGATAATACAAGCCATGCTCGGTAGACCATCCACTATTCCTAATCCTCGGTGAAAATACGTTCCCAAACGATCTCGCGCCGTCGTGCTGTGCACAATACCCCGGCAGTAGAACGTGCGGCGCGCGCGGCCGGCAGCCGCTGGAGCGGGACGGCAGCGCCTCGGACGGGTCCAGTGGTCCGTCACGTAGCACCCACCATCGCCAAACACACCCCGGCGGCGGCGGCGACTCGCGTCGCAGAGGCGCAGTAAGGCACCGGTCGTAACGCACTAGCCAGTGAAATGGAGCGCCTTTCAGACGAGGTGACGGGGGGGGGGGGGGGGAAGGGCGGCCGGCCGCCAGCCGTCGGCAGGAATGGTTCGGTCGCACAGCCTGCTGCGGTCTGCTCGCGCCTGCGCGAGGCCGCGGAGGCGCCACCAGCACCGCACACCACACGGCGGACACGCCGCCCGCCAGCCGCGACAGGAGAGCTGGCTGCCGGCTGCACCACGACCACCGGGTCAGCCGGCCGCCGGCCAGCAGCCTGGCCGCAGTCACTGGCCTGAGGAGCGCTGGCCTAAGCCCACGGCAGCGTGAGCGGCCGAGTCGGGGTCGAAATGGGACTGGAAGTCGGCCTGGAGGCCCGGCACGCCAACCAGCCGCGCCCCAGCCGTACACCCAAGGCAGCGTGGTGCAGTCCGGCCCCGCCCGTCGCCGCACCAGCGCGACCCACGGCCGCGGGACAGCGGCGGCGGCGGCGGCGGCGGCGGCGACCGGCCAGTCGGCGCACGTCTGACCGGAGCGGCGTGCTAGTGAGTGGGCGTGCCCAGCCGCGCCAGGTCGCCGTCCAGGTCGGCGGCGTTAGAGCGCATCTCGTGCAGCGTGTGCGCCAGGCGACTCCAATCGTCGGGGCGCGGTTGCGCCAGCTGCTCGCCCACGTCGTACAGCCAGACGCGGCCGCGCTCGTCGCCGGCCACCAGCTGCAGGCCCGACGGCGTCCATGAGACACGGTTGAGTGCGGCCCGCGCCGCCGTCCACCAGCGCACTGGCGGCCGGCACCTCGGTGTCCGTGTTCAGGTGCCAGATGTCGAGCCGGCCGGCGCCGTCGGCGGCGGCGAACAGCGCCGGGTGCAACGGCGACCAGGCCACGTCGTACACGTAGTCGCTGTTGTCCTCGAACGAGTAGAGTGGTCGCGGCTCCTGGCGGCAGGGCGAGCCGTCAGCGGCCGCGGGGAGGCCGAACCCCCGGATAGGAGGACGGCGAGGAGTCGGAGACGCCTCTCAGCGGCCCCAGGGGGCTAGCCGGCACCGAGGGTGGGAGCACGGGAAAGAGGCAGACAGACCAGACGGGCGGTGCCATGGATTAGCACGGGCTGCCATGAGAAATGCAGCGATCTTGGTCAAGCAAACAAACATGGACAGTCCTATGCTAAGCAGATACACAACATTCAAACGTAGACATGCCATGGATTGAACGAGGGGAAGACACTTTACAGGAAACTGCAAAATTATTGTTCGATGACATATTGTTCGATGACATGACCGAACATATCCGGAACGTGTCTGTCACGACGCCTCTGTGCTCTCCGCAGGACGAGCGGCGCTCAGCGTCGTACCTTGGCGCTCCACAGCTTGATGGACCAGTCGATGGAAGAACTGACGAAGAGATGGGCGAAGTCGAGCGGGCCGGGCGCCGCGTGCGCGCTGACGCCCGTCACCGGGCCGAAGTGGCCCTGGTACACGTCCTGCACGCCGGCCCGGCTGCCGTGACGACACCCTGCCCGCCGGCGGCCACGGCGGGGTCAGACGGGACGTCCCGACACGGGCCGCGTCCGTACCCTGCCCCTCTCCCGTCACAGACCTCACGGACACAAGGCGCGGTACGCTCGCTCCGGGAAGACACGTATCATCGCTGAAACAATACGATATGTGTAGACTACAAGCGCGGCGCCGGCGGCTCGGAACGGGGGCGGAGCGGCTGTCGGGGCGGACCCACCGGTGTACGGCACCGGCGGCTTGGAACGGGGGCGGAGCGGCTGTCGGGGTGGACCCACCGGTGTACGGCACCGGCGGCTCGGAACGGGGGCGGGGCGGCTGTCGGGACGGACCCACCCGTGTAGAGATTGCCGTCCTCGCTGCCCATGACGAAGTTGTTGACCTCGCCTTGCGGGAAGGTGAGGCCGGTGACGGGCACGGGCCGGCCCTGTTTGAACTGCAGTTCCAGCTTCTCCTGACCGCCGAACGTCAGTGTCAAGCGCG